TTCCTTCCTTCCTTCCTTCCTTCCTTCCTTCCTTCCTTCCTTCCTTCATTCATTCATTCATTCATTCATTCATTCATTCCCATATCATATGGACGACTCCATTCATAAGGGCAACTTTTCTGAGGGTCACTGTTCCTGTGCAGTCTTGTTCCCTGAATGAGCTTTGCTACAGGCTAGTAGGAGAGACCTTGGGAATCCTACTTTTTTAAGAGTACAAATCCATGCTGGGGAAATTTTAGGAATTGGGATCCAGTCTTGGCCTAGCAATACTCAGTTTCTTGAAAGTAACTTTCCAAGCACCAGGTTTGTCACATGCTAGAAGTGGCCGTTTAATAAGCGATGGACCATACAGCATGAAAATCTAGCTGTTCAACCAGTAGGAGTCCTCCGTTCCCCCACCTCATCACTCTTTGACAGGTAATGAGGCACTGGTTGAAAGCATGTTCTGAACCTTTTGGAAAGTCTTTGCGTACAGATGCAAGAGACCACTGCAATATGAAGAGATCCTGAAATGGATTATTCCAATATTAAAACAGGTGTGTTGGGTTTCAGATATTTAGATCAACTTATGGTGGTTTTATTGGTTGCAGGATGCTGCCATAGAACAGTGTATGGGATTCGATAGGCCAGTGCACCAAGTCTAGCCTTGTAACTTTTGTGACTTCTCTGTCACATTATTTGTACCATCATTTGTGTTTATTCTGTTAACATCAGAGAACCTTTTATGATGCTGTTAATTAATAAATATTAATACTGGGTCCTTTTTAAAGAGAAAGGAGGGATAAAAATATTTTAAATAAATAACAATACTGCTCTTACCAGCTACATAGAACCTAGTATTAAAACGGAGGCATAAAAAAGCAGAGCTCATTCACAAAGTGATACAGGAACACCTTTTTTCCACATGGCAGGGTACAGGTCAGCCGTGTGAGCCATTATTAAATTCTGCCTAGTTGTTCAATCCAAGGGTAATTATAACCTTTGATATTCATTACACATATGAGCCGGGTTCCAGTGAAGGAAAAATGCTTAAGACATAGTTTAACAGGGATGGAATATATTTCAGCATGTATCCAGCAACATTCTGCCCTTTGCTGTTTACATTACTGGAACTTAACACAGATGTCTAACAGGAGAAGGCACGCATAGGCTGTTTTCTGAGAGTGGATGTAAACATTTCTATTTGCTTCCTAATTGCCAGAGAACTACACCCCCCAAATCCAGAGAAGCACAAACTTCCATTTTTGCATGCATCAAAAGTGCAAAATCAGGAAAGACTGAATTAAATGACAAACTGAATGTCTTTTTCCCTAACTCTGGATTCAAGCAGGCAGTCAGATCTCCAACTGAAATCAGTGGAAAGGCCTAACTTGGGATGAATTGTGCTTTCCACATGTAAACAGCAGGGAACCACCCACCCCCTCCTGTCAGCTATTTGTTATCTCTTACTGTCTTACTTTTTTCATCAGCATTTTGTGTGACACTAGACGTTTTCTTAGCCTTAACAGACACTTGCTCGTGATGAGAAACCTGTGCATGGAAAAAGAAAAAGAAAGGAATCTTAATTTCACTAAAAGTCAAACGTTCAGTATATTTGATTTCTGAAGTTCTGGGAACAAAAAATGAACAAATGTTTTATGAAGGGAATAATCCAATTCCTACCCTATTAACCAGAACATCTATAGTTCAAATTTTACCTCTGGCTGAAATTCACAGGATCGGTCCATTCAAAAGTGTGACGTTTACCTAGGAGCAAGCCTCCACTGAACTAAAGAGAACTTATTTCTGAGCAGACATATATGGCACTTGTAGGCAATTTACCAGGAGGTAGGGGGTGTTTTTGCCCTCCCCTGGATCTCACAGGGCTAAACATACCCTCTAACACCCCCTGATAAAAATGCACAATGAACCCCCCCTGAATGGTTTGGGGGCATGCTTTGCCACACACAATCAATTTTGACTTCTAGGCCTTAAAATACTTTTTTTTAACAAGCAAGAAGTGACTTGATGGTCACTTCTAGGGTTTATTTTTTTTTTAAAGAAGGACTTGTAATGCCTACAGGTGCCCCCTTGACTAGTACTCAATTGGGTCCATGGGGCAAACTGCTACCCTCAGATCCATCTGGAAGGCACAGTTTACATTTTGAGGCAAAATTTCTTAGGGTGTTTAGGGGTTCAGAGAAGTCTGAAGGAGCTTGGAGTGCTGGCACATGGTTCCCAGACTGCACGTTGCCCACCTTTGGAACATGGGGTTGACAGAAGTTGCCAGAGTTACTTTTTGGACTATAATTCCCAGCTGCTCCCAGCAAGCTCTCTAGAGGATTCTGGGAGCTGTAGTTCTATCCCTCCAAAGGTGCAGCTTTCCTAAACTCTGTGGCACGCATGGACTTAGTTTCCCAGTCCTATCACTTAGAACTCCTTACCCTCACACCCTAATAATGTGTTCATGGGGAACACAGCTGGTCAGTGGCCAGCCTGAAGGTGCAGTCTCCAACAACTAACTCTACAGCGTTCTCTAGTGGTGTTAGGGCCCCATTACAGGTTGAGGACTCTACTAAGAAGCCATATTTCGCTGTGGCCCTGCAGTGCAGTCAACCGATAACACAGCATATCGAAGCAGGGCTGATGCTGGAAAACCCTGGAAAGGGTTGCCACAAGTCAGAATCAACTTGACAGCCCATAATTATTATTACAGAAAATAGATCTCAGGCTGCAATGAAAGCCATTCTCTTTAAATTCTCAGAGTGGTATAAATATACCAGATGGGCGGGATATAAATCAAATAAATAAATAAAAATAAATAAAATAAATTGCCCTCTGTGGTGCCTTCTCCTAGCCCAAATCCAACACTTAAACACCTGCAAAAGGGTCGTATTTCATAGCACCTAAAGAGGTTGCATTTCAAAATGTCAGTCCTCCTCCGTAAACTAAATTTTGCAAGCTAAGTCCTGAGTTGGAACAGGGACTCCTGTCTGTATTGTTTTCATACTCTCTTTCCTTCTCTCGCTTTTTCTCAGATGTCAAAGATCACAATATCATTTTGGAGTTCTCCACTGCCTGTCTGTATTGTTTTCATACTCTCTTTCTCTTTCCTTCTCTCGCTTTTTTTCAGATGTCAAAGATCACAATATCATTTGGGAGTTCTCGAAAGTACTATAGGCAGCTCTCACTTCTGCTCATGAAAAGACAAACAACGGAGAGGGCTGTTAAAACCTCAGAGTATTTGCTTCGTTGATCTCTTTCCATCTTTATGGGAGAAGAAAGGATGGTGTAAGCAAGAGAGCCAGTGAGAGTGGAAAGGAGAAAGAGCATGCATCTAGGAGAAGAGAAGAAAAAGGGGGTCCAGAGGAAGGAGGGACAACGGGAAGGAGTAGAAGGGAGTGGAGGGCTTCATGGTCATTGTATAGAACCAACACTTTAATGGTTCTACTAAAAAAAGGTTTCTACTGAGCCTTGCTATGGTTCTACTAAAAAAAGGTTTCTACTGACTCTTGCTTAGCAAAATCTTTCTCTCTCTCTCTCTCTCTCACACACACACACACACAGAGAGAGAGAGAGAGAGAGAGAGAGAGAGAGAGAGAGAGAGAGAGAGAGAGAGAGAGAGAGAGAGAGAGAGAGAGAGAGAGAGAGAGAGAAGTTGATAACTGCTTTTTATACACTTGGAACAATGCTCCGTCACTCTGACACACACACACACACACACACGGAACTTTAAACGTGAAGTTGGTAACTGCTTTTTATACACTTGGCACAATGCTCCGTCACTCTGTACGTTTACGTACAAGTACATCTGCTGGAGTTGGAGTTAACACCCTAACCTGTCACCAAACCAGAGGGCTGCCATGAGGCAAGAACGACACAGGAAAGAAAGAAAAGAAAGAAAAGCAAAAAGAGCAGAGTGTGATAATTATAAAGGCATACAGGTACCTGTTCTGACTGAAAGGCTTCCAACTGAGTTGCTTTTGAAGTCATTTCATTTACTCTGGTCTCTGTGCTACTGCTTGACACCTTGGCTTGACTTCGACTTGTCACCTTCTAAAGATGGATTAAAAAACCTTGTTATATAAGTCGTTTGACGATAAACCTTTTTTTAAAAGTACCATCTTATCCCCCTCCCCGTATATGATTTTTCATTATATATGACCAAATTGCTAGTGTGGGACGGGTAAAACCTCTCCTTAAATATCTCACTTACCTTGAAAGCCCTATCGCTATAAGTCAGATCCCAATTCACAGCACATAACTAACTATCTGCTCATTATTCACAGGAAGATCATCATGTATAACTTACAGTAATTGGCAAAATAAGAGAAAACTTTCATAGATTTTGTTGTAACATTTTAGTTTTCATATGATGTACATCCAGAAGATTCTCTTTATCATTCTTTGCAGCATCAGTTATGAAGTAAAAGAAAGAATAAAAAGAAGTAGTGGCTGAAATCCAGCAGCATAATTTACAAGGCAGAAAGCTAGTGGTGAAATTAGCCATGGAGTATCTTTAGAAACTATTGTGAACTACCCAGAAAGTGGCAACCCTAATGGGTGGGTATAGAAATTGAAATAAATAAATCAGTTAATTAATTAATTAAAACATTTTCTCCATCCATCCCCAAATGGCTCCCTTGGTATCCCTTTAATTGAAGAGAAGCCACTGGGGGCTGGGGCATCCGAGGAGGAAGTCTTCAATTTCTGAAAATTGTTGACAGCGGGATGATTTTACTGGCACTGGCAGTTTTCAGAAATGTAAGACTTCTCCCTGTCCCACTGTCCCCAACAGCATTCAGATTATGAAGAGGATCCCACCTCTGGACTTCTTGTGGGTGGGGAAATGGGAAATTTAAAAAAAAAAAACCCTGCTGCAGCTGATGACATCATCCACTGGGTCAGTTATGGTGCTGTATTTCAAGCAGTATGTATTAAAGAAGAAGATGAAGGCATCAATGTGGGTTTTAAGGGAAGTATGATTCATTTAATCACCGAACTTCGATCTGCTGTTTCATGCATGACCAGACTATAAAGGAGAAACACGTGTGTGTGTTTAGTCGTTTAGTCGTGTCCGACTCTTCGTGACCCCATGGACCAGAGCACGCCAGGCCCTCCTGTCTTCTACTGCCTCCCGGAGTTGTGTCAGGTTCATGTTGGTTGCTTCGCAGACACTGTCCAGCCATCTCATCCTCGGTTGTCCCCTTCTCCTCTTGCCATCACATCTTCCTAACATCAGGGTTTTTTCCAAGGACTCTTTTCTTCTCATGAGATGGCCAAAGTACTGGAGCCTCAGCTTCAGGATCTGTCCTTCCAGTGAGCACTCAGGGTTGATTTCCTTTAGAACTGATAGGTTTGTTCTCCTTGCAGTCCAGGGGATTCTCAAGAGCCTCCTCCAGCACCACAATTCAAACACAAGCTTCCCAAATTAAGAGAGAAGGGCTTCGTACACAGAATATTTAAACTTTTGGGCGTGGATTGTATGGAGTGCTTTAGCCTAGAGGTTACAATAAGAGGGGTATGCCCGGGCAGGCCCATTTCTAGTGGTTTCACTAAAATGCGTAAACATTTGGTTCAGAATGTGAATGACAGAAGCTTTTAAACATAAATATAAGGTGAGTCAGTTTACAGTAGGTGTGTTCAGTTAGCCAACTGTACCTCTCCAAATGTTCTCAGACTCAGCTCCCACCAGCACAAGATAACGTAGTCTATGCTGAAGGATGATGAGAGTTGCAGTCCAACACCATCAGGAGGAGCAGAACTGCAACAGAACAAAGACTTCCATACTCTCTCACCTTCCTGGGAAATGCTACACAGAGGCTGAAATCCTGTTGAACAGTTACATCAAACCTAAAACTTTAAGCAGCGAATTGCCTTAAGAAATCTACATAGGCATAATCTGTTGCACACTGTGTTGCACAACAGACAGTGCCTGTGGAGATTTCTTAACTTAAAGCAATTCACCACTAAAAGTTGCAGCTTTTGCATAACTGTGCAACAGGATTTTGGCCAGAGAGTGAGGGGCTGCTGCTGAATATGGTTGTCACCATTTCTTTCAGAAGCAATCCAATGGGACTTCTGGAGTGACGGGATTAGTACAAGGTTGAAAGCATCTTGGATCCAATCTACGGATTTCTGTGGGATTGATAAACTGATATGGTAATTTTCTTGCTTTGTAGAAATAATCAGGGATCATACCTAACAGGAGGAAAAGGATCCATCTAAAACTCGTATTACGAGCATGCATACTCGTAGCATGATAACATCAAGTGGCTTGGGTGACAGATTGGAAAACTAAATGACGGTAGAACCTAGAGCACAACAAAAGCATTCAGTTACCAGTCGCCTACTGTCGAAACCAGGACCATGAGTAACCCTCCCCCTTGGATCAAAGACTGCAGTTCATGCTAAGAAACACAAGTGAGTCCATAAGTGGTGGATTGTGTAGCTCATACCTTGCAAACCTTTTGTAGGAACAACGGGACGAAGGAACAAAGAATATATTCCTTTGTTCAGTATAAAGTACCCATAGATATTTATATTTACATTTGATCTAAAATGAACACAGTAGGCTGTGAATAACAGAACAAAAGGCCTTTTGTGTTCTCCATTTATGGCTTGCAATGGCAACAACGTAAGTTGAAGCAAAAAATCGAGCAGGTTGCCAGTAAAATCCATCCTGTTCAGATTAGCTAGGGAACAGCAGGAGGAAGAGTGAGAGAAATTATTTAGACAGACCTTTTCTTCATACCTGTAATTGTGGCAAGGCTCTTGTAAAGAGATTTTCACATAAAAATAGTGAGCGGTAAAAGCAAATGCAGAAAAATCAATGCATGTCCCACAGGTAAGAATGGATGTTAAGAAGTGTTCAGGATTTATTTTTTACATTCACAATCCTCTGGAGCAGATCGCAGCTGAAAGGAAGCAGAAGCCAAGAAGTCTGGGACGGCACTGTAAACTGCCACCTCTCACTTGTTCCGAGATCAGCCTTAAGATTCCATTAAATGTAACCGTTTTCTAATTACTGTTCCATTATTTGTACCACTTGCTCTACAACAGCAGCTAAGAATGGTTAGTAAGGGGGCCAGTGTTTGTGCTATATTTGTGGCAGAATCTTTACCACAACAGAAATGGGAGTATTATGCTGTCAGTAGTTGGGCGGTATCGCAGGACACTCCTTTTGCACTTGGCATCTTCCTCAACAACCAGCACCACAAAATTCAAAGGCTGGGGCCCAGAAAACTGAATCAAATTCTTTGTGTTTCATTTACAACTGGTGTAACCATAAACTGCAATCTCTGTGCAGGGTGTGAATTCTGATGCTTTGGACAATGTCAGAAATACAGCCCTCCTATTTTTAGACTCCCTCCCCAAGTGGCTTTTTAGATGAAAGGAACAAAACACTGGTAGCAAACAATTGTACACAGAAATCTGTGTAAGAGAGGAGGAGCACAACCTACGGAAGAGCCACTGTGATTAGAAACTGTGTTTTACCAGTTACCTCTGAGGCCTACTCACTTCCACACAGAGCTGGGAGAAGTTATTTTTTAGGGCTACAACACCTCCCCACCCCAAAGCCCTCTAGTCAGCCCCAGGTGCTGCATGGAGTGAGTGTCCATTTCATTAGACCCCATTACATCAATTACCATTTTGTAAAAAGTATGAGATTCATAGATGTTGGATTTAAACCACCTCTTTTAATTCTGCTGTTCATCGGATAAGCTATATCAGATGTCTGCAACCTTGTGACCTCTCAATGGGATGGAGGACAATTCCAGTCACCTTTGGTCACTGGCTGTGTCACATGGGGATGATGGAAATTGCGATCTAACCGATCTGGATGGTACCACGTTGGGGAAAGCTGCGTTAAATACCCATGTCTCATGAAAAAGGAATAGGTGTGCAAGAAGTGTATCAATAGCAGTACTTTTTGTATAAGATAACGAAAATTAGACGTTGCAGTAATCACCACCCAGAACCTTCCCCCATTCTTTCATTGCGTAATTTATATACTGCATCTGTCACTCAGTCTGTGTCTGTTCACCTATCCCTCATTTTATTTTGCCTCTGTACACCACTGGTAACAAGCTGTCAGTCCCTTTTAAGCAAACCTCTAAACAGAACAGATGAGCACTACACAACAGTGACCAATATTGGTAATCTCATTCTTCCCAGAGATGTGTAGCCGGAGGCCTCTGGAGAGAGTAATGATCATTTTCTTCCACTGTGGCTCAGGTGCATTTCCTTGGCTTTACTAGCCATCATCCATTTTCACAGGCTTTCGATACTTTTTTATGATGAGGTATACTTCATATCGGTTGATGCTCTGTGTTATGGCCAGGTGTCCTCCAGTCTATAAGAATTCCACTTTAATCTCCTTCCTAGAAGAAGGCCGGGCACTCTTCGTCTGAGCCTGTTTGTATCTGGCTGCTAGGTTTATACAGCATTGACTGATTGGCCTCCTTAAGCTTCAGAATCAATTTAGCCCCTGTGTCTGAGATGATTCCAAGGCATGATCAGCAGGGCTATTAAAAAGAAGACACAAGCTCAAACGTTATGGCTGCCAGATCAGCCACAGCCTGTTCTCTGGGATTCAAATGCCAGAGATGAGGGGCAGGCCCTTATGCAGTGGTGGGATTCAGCAGGTTCGCACCAGTTCTACAGAACCGGTAGCTAATGTATTATTGGTTCTGCAGAACCGTTTGTTGGCCTGCTGAATCCCACCACTGCCCTTATGATGTCACAGAGATGGGGCAGGCAAAAGTTTGGAGAGGGGGCTGGAACTGTTTCTGGGATACCTGCTTGTGGAAAAGGGCACAAAGGAAATATAAGTAAAAAAAGCCCAGAATCTGACTACATTTCTTCTTACCAGGTAATACTGGCAATCCACAGCTGGAGGAAAAACTTGCTTTTTGAAACTTTGGCAGACAAAAAAGTATTCTTGTATGAGTTGGGAAACAGTAGCAATCTTCAAAATCATTTCACACTTAAAAGTCAAACTTTGTGCCCTTTGCCGTCTGACCTGGAGAAACATAACTGTTCCTTGAAAGTTC